ACACTTGAAACACTGGCACTCGGACGAAGGGAATGACTTTTCCGTGTTTGATTACGCTGTGCCAGTCTCCAATGGCCACTTCTAAGAGGAGCCTCCACTATCTGTTGTGGGGTGGTGAGACGTGTTGTCGTGACTTCCACATGCCAAAGGCAACCTCACTATCATCTTCAGATATTTTTTTCTTTCATTTAGGGCTCAGTGATGACTTTCTTTCTCCTCCCCACCCAAAGGGAAGGCAAGTCTCTAATCACCCTGTTGAATTCCTCCTGACAGACGCCGATGAGGCCTCCCTATTAACAGAAACAGCCCTCTTCTCCTTAGATGCTCCCACTGGACTCAGTCCATTGCAGCTGTGGTAAGAGCTTGTAGCACTATCCCTTTAACATAAACCTAGGGCTTTGAAGAAAATTAACTGGTTTGCGTAGATAGCACAAATGGGAACAATTTGAAAGGGCAGCTTGATTATCGAGTTTGGGTAATACAGCCTCAGATTTGAGACTTGGGATTGGTCAGAGATTGAGAACAAAAACAGTTCCTTGCAGATGTACCGGAGTGTGCTGCCAGTGCCTGAACAGGAGGCTCCTGCAGACACTTCCTTTGCTCATGAGTCTGTCTTTGTGCCCAGTTTGTTGGAAACAGGGTTGTGTGCCTACTTGAAGGATCTGCATGTGTGTGTCTGTGCACTTAAAGAGAAGGCAAAGGAGAGTGAGAATGGGAGTGGGGAGGGAGAATCTAGATATCTGTTTTTCCCAAGTCCCATCCAAACACTTTCTCAGAAATCTAAACAAGGAAGAGAGGCAATAAACATGCATTAAATACCACTTGGCTGGAAATGTTTCTGCTTTGTGCGTTATGGGTAACTGGGAATATATTGGGGATATGGCATGGTTCCATCTGTCTTATGTGGTGCAAAACAAACATTTTCTTTTGGAAGGAAGAGTTGCTTTTCTTTCAATTGCAAGCTTTTGGTCGTTTGTTTGTTTGATCCCTGCTCTTTGATACTTTCAGGCAAGACAAATAGTTTTTCTAAAGTACCTTGTTCAAAGACTGGTCTGTAGAGACAATTCTGTAGTATTCAGCAAAGCAGTGAAGAACAGTGTCATCTGCAGCCACTCAGACCTTACCTTTTCTTAGGTGGTGAAATATTTACCCAAGGTCAAACTTTCTCCAGTACAAATGGAGCTAAAACCATAAGCTTTATTCTGTTTGAAAAGGCAGGATTCCTTGAGATGTCGCAGCATATAAATAATTAGGAGGAGAGTGTAGAATCAGGGGATGACCTGAAGACTTAGCCCTGCTCCAGACATGAGTATTTCCAAATCATTCAGGAACAAATTCTGCTCCCAGTATTGAATAGCATCTTGGTTAGCAGATAGCCTTTGCAGCAGCAGTAGGGCCAGGAGTAGGTGTTGGGACAGATTCAACAAAGCAACAAAGCTTTTGTACATGTGCGTAACTTTAAATTATACACACAGATTGATGAAGCTGAGAAGGCATCACTGATCACCTCATCCAATCTCTTGCCAAAATTTTCTCTATGAGTCTTATAACACATTTGCAGGTTTCTCATGTCCATTCAGCAAAACATAAAAAACCATGCTCTCTTCAGAAGTGCATGTACACATATGCTTAACTTCAGGGAAGGGTTTATTAAGTGAAGCACTTAGTTAGATGTATTCTGAAATGCCGGTAGGTAATTCTAGGCAACTGTCAGAGGTGATTGGTCTTCATGAGTCTGCTTCTGGAGAGAGATGGGGTGCCCCAGAGGGCATTTTTTAGACTACCTGTTTCTCTCCATTGACTCTGGAAGGGGGCAGAGGTCATAAATTAGGCATCATCATTAGATGCCTAATGTGGATCTGCATCATTGCCCTCTTTCTGTTGAATAATTTTTTCATATCTGTAAAATGGAAAGTCTTACGGATTTAAACCTGGAAGTCCATATAATACCTAGTGTTAGTGCAGGAAGCAAACTTACCTAAACCAGCTCTGTCAGTGGTTCCCTGCTGCCCTCCAGTTCCCCAACTCTCCCATCCCTATGCTCCCCACATCTGTTTCTGCCATTCCCCACCCCCAGTGCTAATGGCCAAAGAAAATGTGTTGGAGACTCTTTCTTCTCTCTGCTTTATATTCCCACTTCATTTTCTCTCTAAAGCTTTTCTTGGTTTGTTGTCTTTTCTAAAGAAACCTCTCTTGGGTTTATCTCTGTTGTGCAGCTGCACAACAGTCAGGAATGGTGATTTGTGAAACGCCATAGACATCATTTGTCAGAGGTCATTTTTTGGTGTTTCTGCCAGACTAGAGTTTCTGAGACATGGCTGGGAAACTGGAGGGAATTCAGAGGTGAGCTGTACTTATGTGTATGATCAGCGGTTGCTTAGGAGTGTTGGAATATAAAACTTCCAAAGGGGAAATAGAAGAACTGACACATGTTCAGCCTGAAAGCAAAAGCATGGGCGAAGGTGTGTCGGTGACAGAAAGGCATAGCTGCTAAAGAGATTTTACAAAGGATACAGTGTGCTTGTTCTCATTACTCAGTGAAGGTAGAGCAAGGAATAACAAGCTTCAATTACAGCAGAGGAAATGTAGCTGAAATTTTAGAAAAAACGTGGCAGCTTTGTAGTTATTGGTGGTACAAACCATTGAATCTCCCTGGATGTGATGTGCAAGGTGAGACAGAATACCCTGTGAGGCAGAGCTGAGGAAGGAATATTACAGTCCATCCTACCAGGATGGGGAATGGACTAGCGAGTCCAGTGGAGTGCTGTGTCAGCTGACATGAGGATGATGTATTGCTCACCAACAGATTGGTTCATCAGGAGATCAGCGGTGAAACAGAGGTGGCCAAACAGGAACTAACGGTACAGATTGTGACTCCTAATTTGTGATCCCACTTGATTACTGAGTGAATCTCTTTAGAACTGGGGATGGCTCCAAATAGCACAGAGCTGGGCATGGAAGAGAGAGAAAAGAGGCAGCTATGAGAAGTAAGACTGCCAAGAAAGAAAGTGTGGGATTCTTAAAGGCCCCACAGGCTACATCTGTGCCATCACATTAATTTGAGGTTTGAGTTTGCACTCAGACACTCCAGGCTGTCTGCCTGCTGGCCCACACTTTCACTCCAGTCTGGGATGAGCCTGCTGTGTTCTTGGGCAGCAGTGTCTGGGCACAGCGAGCGACGTGCTGGCTTACAGCAAGCCTCTCTCCATGAAGCACTGTAGATGCAACCAGTTAAGCCTTGGGTGCAGAAAGCTGCAGAACACAACCAGGCACAGCTAGCTAAGATGTATGAAAATAGCCCAAGTAAGTAGGAGCACAAGTTCACCTTTGCAAAGGGGTATGTGTTCCCTAATCTGTTTGGTGTATTCTCCCCTCCCCCAAAAACAGACAGAAGAAAGAAAGAAAAAGACAGATGTAAGGATGGTGGACTGGAAAGGTGAGCTGGGGAAGAAATATCTAAAATAACTCTAGGAAATAGAGTGAAACAGTTAAACACATTAAAGAGGGGTTGGAAAAGAAAAACATTTGGAGAAAAGATAGGGTTGGCAATAGGGAAAAATGAAACAAGAAAGAGGACAAAGTGGGAAGATTTTTTTAAGAGGTGAAGGAATGGGAGTCAGTCACTGTGGATGTAGTCATGCTAAGTGTACGGAGCATGATGATGAATGTGGCCCCACAGTTAGATAGCAGAACATTCTATATAGATTTATACAGTATCCTGTTTGTGAGAAATTAATTTGAGCAATTGCTGCCAAGGATTTTTAGAAAGCAATAGAAAGGTCTAATTCAAAATTACTATGCAATAAGTAGAAATTGCATCAGTTTATGAAAAATGAAGAAGTCATCCAGTATTATCACAATGTCTTCTTTCTGCCTGTTTGCAGCCCTCCCCCTTTCTTTTCAGTTCTTATTCCAAAATTAAGTATATGGTCAATCTTTTTTTCCTTAGCAATTGCATCAGCCATAGGAATGTATCACATGGTAAATGAAAGAGTATGAATAATTCAGAACAAAATTTTGAATCATTTAAAAAGCACAAGCTTCACATTTCATTGTTAACCATATAACGTGAAATCTACAAAAATCACACTGCAATTTCTGGAGCAAAACTATTTCAAGTATTTGAAAATATTCTTGCATTTATTTCATTCTATCCAAAGAATATTTCAAACTCAAGAGTTTTCCAAAACTGTATTTCACATGTGATGAAAAAATCAGAAGATAATGAACTACTGGGTATGTGCTGTCTAAACATGAAACACCATACATATTTCCAGAAATTATTGTGGCCATAAAATGTGATCACCTTTGCCTCTAAGGTTGATGGAAAATGTAACATTTAGTTAATCAATGACTGTAATAGGGAATTAACATGATCTTCTGCTATCATTATGGTGCATATATATGCCACCACCATTGCTTGTTAGTGTGGATTTTTGGCTCCTATAATACCAGCATGACTAGAAAACAGCCTTTGACTGGGCCTAAGCCAAAAAGCTTAGCAACAAAAACACAAAGAGAAAAGCCAGTGCAATACAGATAATTTTTTTTTTTTGTAGTGATAAGAGCAGGAGGTCAGAGTGAGGAGTTTTTCAATTTGTTCCCCAGTTTAGTCACTGATTCAGTGTGTGGCCTCTTTAGAGGGACTTTATCCTTTCCTCACTGAAGGTTCGTGCCTCATTTTCCTCATCTGTGCAACAACAATAGCGAGTCTGAACCACTTTGCAGCTGAGGTTGTGAGTGACCAAATGACACAGCATTTCTAAAGCACACTGAGACCCTCCAGCGACAAATTGCTACAGAGAAGGCAAATGTGATGCTGATCACCTGACACGCATGCATCATGATTAATGAGTCTCAGGCAGTTGTTCAGGGCATTGAAGCCGCTGGTTATGATGACATTAATACGCGTTTGCATTGCTCTGACCGCAATATTAGCACCCACATTCCACAGGGGGTATTAGGGCTGTGCCCTCCAGGGATGGTTGGGGTTATCCTACCATTCGGTTCCCGCCCTGTTGATCTCTTCCCACCAGCACTCTGTCGGCTCACCGAGGCTCTGGGCCGCCGGCATGCAGGCGTAGTTCCACAGTCTGTCGGAGCCTTCCTTCTTGCTGAAAACACTCCTGATGGCCACAATCACCTGCCCGTGCGGGCACTGGAAGTTGAAACCCTGTCGGTACACGTTGGCCCATTCATCATTATCTCCGTAGTTATAAGGGCCATAGTAATAGTCACCATACTGGCCCCACACCATGGTCACCAGAGGCAGGAATACACAGAGAAGGACGAGGTCCATCCTGAGGATGTTCCTGGCTTAGAAATGCCCCAATGGTTTGTTGGGCTGGCCCTTTTATATCGCCTCTAACATTTGGCTTCCAGATGTTATGCTTCCAGATCCAAGTGCAATGTGTCATTGCAAACCTTCTCAGAGTTACAGACACGTCCAATTACTTTTAAGGTGGAATTCTGCAAGTACAGTAAGTCTGCAGGCCCCAAGAGCAGGGTCTTCCCAGCACCACAAACCATCTGTGATCCCTTGCTGCAGAGCTACTGTATAGAGCAAGATACACATTGTAGTACAACTGTCGCAGACATCCCACTTTTATCCTCAAGACAGCAGTTAAGTTTGAAAACTACTTTATTTGAAATTAAAGCTCTATTTGAAGTTGCCATTTTCCATCATTAGTAACATGCAATGAAATGTGATCATGTATGTGTCTCCCCACCCTCTTTTCCCTAAATATGTGTGACATGATTCTGCCAGTTCCTAGAAAGAAGGAAATCCGGCAAGGTGGGGGAATTCACTGCTCCTGTGGTAAAAAATCCTTTAGACATTTTGGTTTGGTTTGGTTGGAGGGAAAGTGGAGCCCGAATGACTGAGACTCTGGCTTGGCATGGAAACAGCCCACCCTGAAAAGCAGGTCATCGGCTTATTCCATGCAGAACTGATTTTGCTACGACTGTGTGTGAGCACTGTAAAACAACAGATGTGTTAATGTGAGGATAAAGCACATGAGCAAGTTACGGTGAGATAAGCTTCCTGTGTCACCATAGCCTATTGAAATCTTTGAGCAAGGCCCCTTAAGCTACCTTGCATTTATCATGGGCTAGAGACATGGGGCTACTGCTGAGGAACTGCTGGGCTGCAAATTAAAAACCTGGCTTGTCACTTGGAAATGTGTTTATATGCCACATCCTCAGATAATTTCTTTATAAGGAAACCACCCTATTCAGGAGAGCATAGAATGGTGTGCTTTACTTAACTGTGTACTTGACCCTTAGAAAACTATGGGACTTGAACATCTTTTGATAAGTAAGACAGTCCAAAGTCAATCTAACATAGTCTACATCTGCGTATGTTGCCTATGCTGTGTTACTAGTGAAATGTGTGACCCTTGGAATGGCTCCAGATTCAGATCCTGTCTCCAGTGAAATCACTGCAAAGGATCCAGAGACTGTTTCTTGCTGCAAGTTTCTCCTCCACTCTTTTCACTACCCCTCTTCTCCATTTGGGCCGTGCACATGCGTGCACACACACACACACACACACACAGAGTGTGTGAGCCTTTATTCTGTTGCTGATATTATCAGAAAGAAGATCTGCAATGGGTAGCAGTGGACTTGCTTTTCTCTAGGGATCTCCAAACACGTTATAGCTGGTCATTGCTTTACAGGAGCATAAGCATCCCAGGAGGTGGGTGCCTTTACTAAGAGTCCTAGATCTCAAAAGCTGTCTTCAGCCTCATTGACCAGTTGCTTTTGTGCCTTTATCTAATGACTTTTTTTGTAACAGAGCCTTATTTGACAAAACTGTAAGTGGGGGTTGGGCTCTTTCCCAGGAGCACAGTGCAGCAGTATCTCAGTTGTCCATGCTCACAGCCAGTGCAGATCCAAATGAACCTGGCAGCTGAGAGTTGCTGATCTAGCTCAATGCCTCACCTCCAGCATAGCAGCCCCAGGTGCCTGGGGAAGAGGGTTATGGAGACAGTGCAGAACAGCCCTTTCCTTGGAGCTGCCCTCCTCTAGATTTTAGTTGACAGTAGGGGACACAGGTAGCCAAAGTCTAAAGAGAGAGGAAATTTAAAATTAAAACCCCCATAGTTACCCGATGGGCACCAGCATGCAGACTTGAACTGCACGATTGCTCATGAGTTTTTTCAGCTAACTCAATAGTGTATGTTTTTCCCCTTGTACTTCCTTAGACACGTAGTTAACATCTGGGAGCACTGTACACTGCTGTATATGCCTGAGAGGCATTCTGGAAGATGTTTTAGCAGGAAGCACCACATTATCATACATATATGATCTTCACCTCACATAACCCTTTACAAGCACCATTCCTTGGAAGGAAGTCCTCACATAACCCCCACAAAATCAGGGGCAAGAGAGGATGAGAAGGGGGAGGAGGGCTCTATGGAAAGTAGGGCAGTCTTCCTTTGCCTACCTTTCACACACGTGTGAAGCTTTGAGGTCTCGACACTTCCTACATACAGTCTACCTTGCCTGATCCCAGTTAGTGGATAGGGTGGCACTTCCCTGCTGCACTATGATCAAGAAGTGGTTTGGCTGCGGGGGAAAAGCTGCTCAGGGAAGACGGTGAACACGAGAGATGTGCTCCATGAGGCAGTCGTGGCAATGCAGACATGTCCAGAACAGGGACTGCCTGAAAATCTACTGTGAAAAAAACTGTTCTGTGTTTCTGGATCCAGTGCTTTCTGGGAACTTTTAATATTAAATTTCATGCTTCATTCTGATACTGAATAAAACCAGAAGAGAGCAGAATTTCTTACCGGAGGGACATGATGATTTTTAGTCACCTTGGAGAAGGGTGGTATTTTTGAGTGGGAGGAACTGTGATTTGAAAATTCCTGTAGAGGTTAAAAAAAGAGAAGAGTGTGCGTACATGAATTTGGTTTCTGAGTAATGCTCCTTCAGCTCTGCAGTTCACAGCTGCTTGGTTCATGGAGCAAAGCTGAGGCTACATGCGACTTGTTTCACTAATATTTCACGCCGTTGCTCCAACCCAGATAATTCCACTGATGTTGCCAGTGCTGAGGGCTGCAATTTTAGCTGTATTTCCATTGACTCACTGGCATGTTAACCACTATGCCTTATTCTGTTCTGACCAGTGAATCAGGCATAGCAGGTCAAAAGCCAGTGGCTAGAAGAGTCTACAGCTTGGTGACTTGGTTGGCTTCAGCTCAAGTTTGCACTAGGAGAAAACTCAACGATATTTAAAAATTAGTCCCTCTCTGACATTAAATACATCAGCTGCATGCCTTGCACATCTAATCTTTGAAAAAGCAGAAGGTGTCAATGAGGTAGTAAATATGAGGTGCTAAGACCAACCTTTCATTGTTAGTTCCTTGCCATGGGATCTATATTGGCTGGTAATTTTATTCCCTATCAGTTCTCAGAAATGCTGCATCTAATCCACACAAACAAGTATTTAATTTCTGTCTTGCCCAAGAATAGCGGATCAAAGTGATTATTCTTGATAACCCCCCTCCCTGGCTTAACTTCGAAGTTAGCTCTGCTTTGAGCATGGTTTGAATAGAGGCCTTAAGAGAGATGTCCCTTCCAACCTGAATTATTCTGTGTTTCTCTTCTGCTGCAGATACTAGATGCAGCATTGCTTAGCACTGCAGGCATTATTAGTGCTTTGGAGCCATTAGGAGAAATGCTGCAGTATTCTCTTACCATGCCATGTTACAGTCATGAAATGCAGGGAGATTGCAGTGCTTTGAACTAAAATCACAGATGCAGTAGTACTATTCAAATGAATAACAGTAGCCAGCTTTTATTTTAGCACCCGAGCTCTATACTGAAATAGGAGAAGGAACAGAAAAGCTTTATTTATTATTTGGCAAACACAGAGACAGTAGAGCTGCAATGAGAATAGCAAGGGTTCAGACTTTGTCAGTGACAGGTACAACTAGACCTGTGTCTACAAAACTGGTTTGCATGAAAGTAGTGTCATCTGGTTTTATTGGAGTGGCTGTGCTGCTGAAGTTCGTCCATCTGCAAAGGTCTGACTCATGGACAACCATGAGTTTTTTGCCCCACTATGAGGGCAGAAGAGGTGTTATCTCTCAGCATTTCAACCTTTGGGGGCAAAAGAGTGATTCCATCCCATATTACTCAGGACTGTAGCCAGCAGTGAAGTTTTGCATTTTGCACTGGTGAAGGAGGCTGTGTATCCCCTGAGCCCTGAAGTCCTCTGCGCACAGAACAGGTATAGCAGCGGCAGTGGCAGTAGAAATACATGTCTGCTTCCAAGCTAATGCAACCACATCATGGGATTTCACAATGAGAAGAAAGTGTTTTTCATGTCAGCTCATTGCATCAGTGAGGTCGCACATTTTGAACACATTTTCCATATTTTATTACACACTGTCTCAGAGTGATGCTGGCAGTTCTGATAAAGCGGAGTGGCTTGGATGAGTCAGGGAGGCTGCATGATCTGGGAGCTGTAAATTGAATTCAATTGCTGATTACTTTTTCGTGCCATCTTTGCAGCATGACTTTTTTTTTATAAGCTTCCTGCATTGTCAATTTTTATAAAAATGTGGGGATTCAGGATGCCTTATTTTTTTTTTTTAAATGAGGTTACAGAAGGCTTGGTAATGTGGAGAATGATGAAGCTGCTAGAAAGCTGTGTTTCACAAGGGGCAAAGATATATCCTTGTCAACTTTTTAGCTCAAAGTTATTACCTTCTTTCAGAGTAATGTGTATGGTGAAGGCTGGAGTTCATTTGTCAAGGCTTCCTACTGTTAATGACATTTTTTCCAGTACCTTTCACTTGATGTTCTGAAAGTACTTTGATTAATTTCAATCACCTTCTTGAAAAGTAGGAAGGGTTAAAACCCCCTTATTTTACACGGTAGGTCCAGTGATCTGCCCAATCTCCGCCAGTACCTCAGGGCTAGAAACAGATTTTAAACTCCAGCATCTAGACTTTCAGCATCAGACTGCAGCCCTGGGAAAGTGTACCTTTTCCCAACCCCTTCTTCCTGCTGCTTCCCTACAGAGGCGTTGGTTCAGCTTCCTCTTTGCATAGCTCTTTCTTTGTAAAAGGGAAGCTACTACTTAAGATCCGGTGATACTAGAGGATACTGCAAAGCTCTTTTCTCTTTGGAAGTAGCTGTAGCAAATCCTGATATGATACCACCTGGAATATTGCTGTGGAGAAAAAAGCAGTAGCTGCAGTGCTGTTTTTCCAAGGTTATCATAAGCCTTTTGGATTACTTTCGTAACAGCTTCCTGCCTGTGTGTGTAGTATTAAATCATGGCTT